TTTGATAAATATTAATATGTATTTCCTCAGATTAATCAAGCATTTAAAACACTCAAAATTCTAAAAAAGCAAAAAAATTCAAATTCAAAAAAAATTCTAATTCAAAAAAAGCAAAAAAAGTCAGTGTCAAAAAATTCAACAGAAATTTTAAGTAGAAATAAATCCACTAGCCACATTTGTTTTGGGTTCTTCCATATATTACAAGAGTCATGAAATTTTTCTTGAAAGTTTGTGGTAATTACTGGACTTCTATGACAGATACAGCTCTCCAAGAGAGACTTCTTTACTGTGCATCAAGTCCTGTATCCCATAGTATCTAATACATCATTTTCAAATGACAGTGCAGTTGACAAGTTGCATGAGAAGAACATAAGAGTTAAAATTACAAGTGGAAGACATGAAAGTTTTCTCAAGTGTGGGAATGACTGAAATCAGCTCATCGATTGGTCTTTTTCTACTGGCAGACAATTCTGTAAAGCAAGTCTGCACTGGGAGTGGAAGGGAAAACTAAAGATTCTGTGGAGGCCTTCACCTTTTCTTCTTCTGTGATCATATCCATCACAGCAGCATGTTCACTGTGGGGAAAATGGCATAAACCATGTGATCATTTTAATCTTACACAGAATGCGCTTTTTTCTCCTTCACAGAATTGCTATTGGCATTTTAGAACCTGACATTTTGAAAAGATTAAATATACTTGATACCATAATGAAGGAGGAAAGTTACTTTTCTAGGAAAAATGGAGAATGTTTGGTTTAATTCCAAACCATGGCATGTTTTGGTTCATTTGTATCAAGTGTAGCTCAAAGTGCAGTAGCTATCAAACTGTAGCAAAGTGATATGGCAATATATTGTGTATTCTTCTGTCTGAACATGTAAATTTTCATAAAATAAAAACCTATGAGCAACATGAATCCAAAAACATTTCCAAAAAATCTTTGTTTTCTTGAACTTTGAGCTTCAGCATTTGTTTCCTCTATTTTCCTCTTTCTGTTGTAGACTGAAGAAGTAGGAAAGAGTGTAGTCTATTTTAAACTAAGGTAGGAAGAAATTAAGTCAATATAATACTATTTCAAATAGTGTTATTTTAATTGTGCCAGTAGTTATGCAGCTAGAAAATAACTATTCATGTCGTTGAAAGATGTTAATCCTGGAAAATTAGTGTTATTTTTTTTATTTGAATTATTGATTAAACTGCATTTTCATATTGTGAAAAAGAACAACCCTCGTATTATTTTTTGTCTCACCAGAAAACCTTGGAGTCTGTAATCCAGTGCCATAAACTAGACCGTTTATTGCATATATTTTGTATTTACATTAAAGCGGTAGTCTCTTGGAAGACAGAGATTTGATTTAAGGCAAGAGATTAACAAGACAAATATAACTATTAGTAGATATTTTATGCTGCACTGGTATTTCTTTCTTGTAATGGAGGTCATTAAACTGTAAATTTCTTTAGAACAATTCAGAGCTTTATCACTTGCTCCTGCAATTGTAAGATATTATATGATGCCATTACCAAATACAAAAATATTCCTGTTTTAAAATGCAGGTTATTTGCCTTTCTTTGTCTCTGATGTCACAGACTTTGGCCATTGTAAATTAAATTTGTTTCAATAAATTCAAAAATGGTGGAAAAAACAACAGGAGAAGGAAGTCTTCCAGAGTTTTCTCTCACGTCAAATATTATTTCATCTAGACTGAAATGAAATTAATGATTTAAGAGACCAACTCTACTACACAGTGGTTTCTTGTCATGTTTATCAAAGAACATGGTGGTTGTGGTACCATATATCATCTTCAAATACATTAATATCTAAGACACTAGGAAGTATAGTGCTGACATGCTTTGCAGGCCATACTCCATGTTTTGTCACAAAAATGCCATTAGAAATGTCATTCCCCTTTGCACCAATACAACTAATTGGTCACTATGTATGCAATGCCTTCTATAAACTCTAGTGAAAGAGTTTTCAAGTTGCTTCATAATAAACCACTTTTCTTCAAAACATTTGAAGGGAAGTTTTCAGTTTGAATTCAAATTCAGGAGATGGCTGAATGCTGCCTAGGAATGGACATCCCTTAGTCTGTCTAGAAGGACATTTTGAGCTTTGGTAGACTTGGTACTTTCAAGGTATCTGACTACTCATATACCTCAAAAGTACCAGATTCATTCAAGGTACTTTCAAGCACCTCCTTTTGGCTACCTAGGAGGTAGCCTCTAAAGGAGGCAGCACAACTCCCTGTGGTGTCATTGGTGAAGGAGTCAGTTTTCTGGCTTGAGGGTCTAAGAAGTCCTGCTGAGGATCTGACATTCTTTCACTATAAAGGGACTCCAGCTTTCCCCTTTGGATGCCATATGCTATCTTAATTTATCTTAATTATGAAATATTGAAACTGGCAGTCTCTTACTGAATTACTCTCCTATTGTAAGAGACTGGTAATCTCTTACTGTTAATTTTTGATAGATAAATGGTAATAAAAATATTTTTATTGTCATTAAATATTATCTGATTCTCCAGCTGGCACAGGAATTTTAGTCACATGCTGGAAGAATGTAAAGAATGAAGTAAAAGGGTTTTAGCTACTTGCATTTTAATGGCTAAGTAACTGTTTCTCTGAACATTTTTGACTGTTAAATAGTCTAATGATTACCAGACTTCTACATGTATTGTGTATGAACTAGGGAAACATATGTTAAACAGTAAAATTGAATATCTATGGAGTACTATTTGTCTATAAATACAGAAAACTTGTTATTATCACTGAAGATATTTGTTAAAATCCAGAGATGAATAAATGAATAGTAGCTTATATACAGATATTTTCTAATTTTCATAGAGGGCCTAGTACTTGTAAGGTCTTACACAATCCTGCCATTCTCATATGATGTACAAATAGTGCTACCACACAGGTGGCTTTGCTGGGCCAGGTCCATGTTACCAAGTTCTCCAGTGCAGGATGTACATCCACAGGGATCACACTTGTGTCTGCATTTCATGATAATCATATTTAATTCAGCTCTGCCTTTTCTCCTACTCAGGTGACGCCTTAAGTTTTAGCTTTCACATTTTTCAGATTCTGTGCTGCCTAGGTGTGTAGTTTTGAGCTTCATATTAAGTGTTAGTGAGCTCTCTTCACAGAGTAGGCAGACAAAACAATTCCTTTTCTAGCTTGATACCAAGGACAAGTGTTACAAGTTTCAGGCCCAAAAGCATAAACAATGATGGGCTGAGGAGAGAAAACAAGAAGGATGAGACTTCATAACCTAGCTGTAATTGGACAATTAACTCTGATATGCAGATGGACCAAAATGTATAAAAATGTGAGACCTTGTGACCAGTCATCCATTTGGTGACCATTTTTAGGTCCATCTTAGGTGTAGCCCTGGCCAGGGTCTTGTACTGCCCAAGGTGTAAACTTTAAGGCCCTTCAACAAATACCTACTTTACTCTTAATTCTGTCTAGCCTCTGTTCTAGGTCAGCCTTCTCAAGGCATCACAGGAGCTGATGTGAATGGATGGCAAGTTTGGCCTCCAGCCTGGACTAGGAACTATTCCTTCAAAGAAGTGCAAACGAATCCACTAAACTTCTTCTTAAAATTATTCTGACTTTGTTTGTTTGGGTTTTGTTTACTTTGATTTTTTTTTCTTGTTATGTGATACTTAATTTAGCCACATAATTTGTATTTATGTTATATATATTCATAGGGAAGAATGTGTCTATAAGTCAATCTTAAAGTTCATTATTAACTATGCACAGGATGCAGCTCACAGAGAAACTGAAATTCAAAAATGGGCTTGGAGTTTTTTACAGGAAACTAGAAAATTCAAAATTTTCTTTTCAATGGATTCTGAGGTATATTGTTGGTGGTCTCAATTAATTTTGGGTTATATTTCATGGAAAGGTCCATTCATCTGATATTTTTACTCCTGAATTCAAGAAAACTCGTGTTGCTTCATGGTTTTTGGTATATATAAAAATGTTAGAGCATTTATTCTGTAGTGATATTCTGATGTAAAGGTTAAATTGTCAGTGCTGTCAGTACAAGAAAGACTTTATGAACAACATTTGAGTTAAAATATTTTAGAGATTCTTAATCTATTCATTCACATTGCTTTTTAATATGGTCATGTAACTTATTTTTGCATCTTTTTTATTTCTACTAAAAAAACATATTCTTATTTGTAACAAAACATTGTTTTTGACCTGAGAAATTTTGATGCTAATAAAAATATAGTATTGATTTATACAGAGACATTAGTGATTAACATTGACAGAGGTAAAAATGAAACTAAGTAATTTTCTGTACATAGACTAGTCTCTGCAATATAAGAAGTATATCACGTATTTTGACAGTAACTAGTAAAGTTGAAATAAGTTGTTGTTTAAGGATTTTCTGCTAGTTTGGGGGTGAGTTATTTGGATTTTCTTCACAAAATGTCCTGGCAAACTTTTTCTTAAATGATGGACAAGATTTTTAAGATTTTGTTCGTTGTTTCATTCGGAAAAAAGAAATAATGATGAAGAATTTCCCCTCTCCTTTTCTCACCTAGTTATGTTTTCTGCAATAAAAAGCAGATACTTTTTCTGAAGTCTGGTATACAGAAACAATTATATTTTTTGGAAAAAAAAGACAGTATTTATATTTTCAGAATGGTTTCAGTATGCTATCCACTGGGTTTTTTTTTTTTTTTTAATCTCACTAATTTAAGAGAGTCTCAGGGAAGCACTTCCCTCATTTTCGGTAAGCAACATCATTCTTTTAATTATGTGTGTACGTGTGTGCCCACATGCATGCACAGGAGAAACTAGTTAGTGCTCTGACCTTGGTTTTTCTAATTCTTCAACAGAGCTTTTCAATTGCATGGCCTAAGCTCGTTTGTAGCTTTGTTCTGCGAAGGTGTGTGTTTGGCTTTTTTTTTCCCTTTCTAATTTTATAGCTCTCATTAAATAAAGGTTCTGTTAATTGTTTATCAGCAGCTCTCCAGGCTAGCAGCTTTCCAGCTCAGCAACTTTAGCAAAACTGTGTGACCATTAAGTCTTTGTACTTTGCTGCTGAAACCTTATGGCCCAGAAATAATAAGTGTCCATTAATCACCTAAACTTGTACATTAATGCATCCTTCCCCTGTGGTGACCTTCCTCAACTGGAGAAGATGTAAAGGTGATCAATAACATTGTTATTGACACTTGCAATTCATGTGAAGTGTGGTGAGTTGATCCTGTAAACCATTCTGTCTCAAATTCCTGATGAATTTAGTGGATCTTAATCTCTCACTATTAGGTCCTTCTTATCCTACCTTAAATATTTAAGCAGTGCAAACTTCTGTCATCAAAGCCCATGCTTCTGTGACTGATACAGGCATAGGTTGCATCTGTAATTCTCTTGACAAGTTTCCTGAAACTTAAATGATATTCTGTTCTTGAAGAAAAAACTTTGTTTTTCCCATGGTTTTGTCTCCATTGTGAGAAACTCAGGTATAAAAAACCCTCTATTCTCTTCCTGTAAAATTGTTATATTTGGCACATTTTTATTTGGGTTTTGAAGGTAAGATTTAGTAAATCAGGGTGCTCTACATTAATGGAAATGGTGGGAAAAATCTTACTGCTAGATTTTAGATGCTGTTTGGTGGACCCCAAGTACCACCTGTGCATGTGTGTGATGATGTAGCCTGGGTATCTGTGCTATCTTGAAAAACAGCAACAGACAGCAGCATATGATTGGTAGCAATTGAATTAGGATGTCCTTGCAGAGCATAAATGTCAGCATCTAATACAATACATTTCTTCTACTCCTTTTCCGAACACAGTATCTGGTGTAAATATATCTGTTTTAGAGACAGCTTAAGAGATTAATTCAAGTTCACCCTCATATCCCAGTGCTGTTCATGCATCTTATTTAAGTGGACATAAGCATCCTTTTGTCGTTTTAGCCTTTTTATTCCCAAGAGACAAGTCCAAGGCCATTTCCATTTAGAATAACTTGGAGTGGTATAGTCTTTTGAGGCGCTTTTCATGAAACAAACTCAAAGTTTATTGTCTTCCATTCTACAACACACAAGGTTAATGTCTTCTCTCCATGTTCAATCTTGGTAGTATTCCAAGCATTTTGTATTAGATGTATAGTTTTTGAAGGAACAAAGGAATATAAAATGTGTTTATATTTATAGTGGCTGTAGCAGAACATGCACAACTAAAATGATAAAAAATACTGTAACACCTTTTGTGTACCAAAAGGGTAAGACATGCAAAAAGCATTAGTTACAAGATCTAATAATCTAGGAAGCAGAAATGCATAATTTAAATTTCCCTCATATGCATTTAGATTTTACTAAATTCTGTGCTGTATGATAACTTGATTGTTGGGTGAAGGTCATGAATGAATGCCCTTGTCTGTATATAATGTATGTGTTGTAGAGTTAAAATATATATATATTAATTTTGATAATAAGTTGATGATATGGGGATAAGGGGTGGAATGTCATGGGGTGACTTTACCTTTAAGATAGCTTTGGGAGCTAAGGAAGTTGAAGCTGCTGGTGGCTGATGGGAGTCATTCCTCCTGACTAATTATCAGTCATTTCTAAGAATTGACAGAAGTTTTGACCATTAAAAAGTGAAGTCAACTTGTGGACACCCCTTTAAGTTGTACAGTCAAAGCTCTCTTGTTCTCTTTGTGTTTTCTGGCTTCTGGAAAGGTAACAAGGCTCTGTCTCGGCCTCCTCCCCCCCCTCCAGGCCGGACAAGGCCGCAGAGGGCGGGGGGGAAGAGAAGCAGAGCCGGCCAGCCTGGTTTAGTTTGTAGTTTCTGCTGCTGGACTGAAACCTGACACCATGAACACTTGCGGCTTTTCTAAGACTTTAATACTTTTACTACCTGGATAAAAAGTACAGATTACTTATTTTTCCCAAAGAGACAGAGAGAGAGGCAATCAACATGAAGAAGACTTCATAAAACCAGCAAAAACAATGAGAAAAAGATATAAGTTTTAGATGGGGAAGACAGAATAAAGAGATGCTTTATAAGATGAACTATCTTTCTGCTAAAGCTATGGAGATGGACAATAGTAGTTTGAAAAGACTACTTTAATTCATGACAGAGTATATTGGGAGGAATGGAGTGTTCAAAGTGTAGATTTTGAGCAAAAGAGAGAGAGTAATTGTGATACAGTGAGGTGCTGGAACAGAGTTGAGCGAAGATTTGGGGCTGCTTGAGGCAAAGAGAAAACTTCTGTTTTCCAGGAAAGCTCACAGAGACAAATGAAGAGAACTTTTGCCTTTGAATAACTCATCCTTAAAATGACATCCCTAGATTCATGGCCCATACACACTTCAGAGTGATGTGAAATGGGAGGAGTGAACTGATGACAGATTTCCGGGCAGCTGGCATCAGAAAAATAGAAAACTATAACAGAAATAGTTTTCTTGTGAGAAACTCCATAGATTAACAGAAGAAGACTTCTGTTTCTCTACAAAGGCTGATGAAAAGACTCTGGCAAGAATGGGGACCGTTTTAACCACCAAAGTTCTGAAGTTTTTCTGTCTCTATGTTGTCACGTGTACAAAAGAATGGTCAGGTAGTGGGGGATAAAAGAGTATTCTGGAAGTTTATTCTAGTATTTTTATTCTTGTAGTTTTGTTAAGTTTTAAGCCTGTTTTGCTCTTGTTCTAATCCATATCTCACAGCAAGAAATAAGTAATTTTTTAGTTACTGCTTTAAAACCACGACACTGCAGTTAATACTAATACTAATAAAAGCCAATACTAATACTAATACAAATACTAAAACATACCAATACCAATATAAATACTAGTACTAATATTATAATGATAAAAATACTCCCCCTCATAAAAAGCAAAGCAAAAAAGCAGGTGAAACACAACTATTTTCCTTATATTCCCTAATTGTTAAATATTTGCATAGTTTGAGTCTTGGTATACACAAAACCCTTGGCAAACTACATTTTCTTTTTTCTGCCTTATCTCAAATTGAGCTTCAGATACAATTCATAGTGAGCATATGTTATTGACACTTGTAAGCCACATTCCTGACACTTCAGGCATGCCTATAAAAAACTTTTAATGCATTCAAATGGGACTGTTTAAAACATGTTCTTCTCTTTCCCATGTTTTAGTTGTTTTGAGCTGAACTAGATGATGCTAAGGTGAGAAATAATTATGAGCCTGATCTCATGGGGCACTCAGTGTACCTAATTTACACTGACTTCAGGCCATATTGCCTGGAAAAAAAGCCAAAGAAGCAAAATCTAATGAGATCTGAATACACTAATTAAACATCCCAAGCCAAAGGGTTGATATTTATAAACAACTGTTGTATCTGACACTGCTCTATTTTGTTATTGTTTTTCTGAATATTTCTCTATATTCCTGTGTGGCTTTCAAGTCACCTTTTTGTTCATTGCTCTCAATAATGCTTTTTGAGGGGAAAATTCTTGGGATGTTGTTGCCCTTTTTCATGGGTAATGAAACAATTAACCCATGCTGAAACAACCTTCAAACTTCTTAAGATTTTTTTTTTTCTTATCAGGTCTAGTAATTCACTTCTATGGAACCTTGATCTATGTGCTTGATATTTTCAATAAAATGGCAAGTCCATGTGGAAACAGATGCAGTGAAGCATCCAGTCATGAACTTGACCTTTTTTTTTATTCTTCTGGTTTGATAACATTTTTACAATACGTGAAATCATTTTTAACTTAGCCAAAGTGACATTTTTACTTTTTCCATGTACAAACAAAAGTAGAAATGTAATTTCATTGTGCCGTACTTTTCCCACTGAACTGGCTAGACCTTTTCAAATACCTTTCTGGATTATTGAAAGAAAACAAACATTGTTTTCTTCACTGTTGTAAAGTATTTCTGCACTCTTACACAGATGTCAGTGGTTGTATAATTTAAGAAGGTACATAAAAATGTGACTATAACCAGACAGCTCTTTCTCCCAACACGATTGTGACAATGAACAAAGTAATACCTTTTTGTATTATGAAATATTTATAAAGCATATTTTGTAATATTCTGAACATATTTTTACAGAAAAATGCAGAAAAGTATGATATTCTACCAGTCTTTTGCAACTAAATTTATTTAGTTTGTTTTTCATTTATGAGTAGCTCCTCCTTCAGACTCATTCTGCAGTCACAAAACAGCTGAGGTGTACAGGGATCTCTGGATTATCTAATTCTTGCCCCTGCTCCAAGGCAGGGTCAGCTAGAGTCAGTTGTTCAGAACTTTGTCTAGTCAGGTTTCTTATATCTCTAAGGATGGTGATGTCACAAATTCTCTGGGAAACCTGTTCTAGTATTTGATCACCATCATGACAAAAGGTGTTTCTTTCTCTTTATTCTTTTGTTTTCAGATGCAGTCCTCTTCTATTTCAGTTTGTGTCTGTTGCATCTTGTCCTTTCACAGGGTACCAATGAGACAAATCTCTCTTCATTCTGGAATGTACAAATACACAGAGACCCTCTTTGAACCTTCTCTTTCAGATGATAAGCAGTCCCAGATGTCTCAGCCTCTCCCTGTATGATAGATGCTCTAAGACTTTAATTGACTTCATGGCCTTAAGTCATGCTGATGTCGTTCTGGATTTTCCCTTTATTTCTATTGTATGATCTCTGTATTCTTCACACATGTATGTGTAACTCTGTCACCTATTGTATTAGTGACTAGTTTTCCCAGTACTTTTCCATGGCCTTTCCCTAGGCAGAAGGACAAAACAAATTCCAGAAACCTGACCCCTGGGTGGGTACAAGGCCCCTGTGCTATCTTGGCTCTTCCTGGGAATCAAGGTTGAGAACAACTCTTCAAGATACATTCTCATGGACAAGGTACAGCTAGTGTTGAGGTGGGGACTTCAGAGAAGGGGCTTGACTTTGTGGTTGGAATTACATCACCACTTGTCCTCCTAATTGGTGCTTTTTATCAATTATGCTAATTTCCTAAAAACCTATAAAATATACTCACCTGGGGGGGAGGTGGGCTTTTGTGGACATCTTTCCATAACTGCCCCTGAAGACTTTCAAATAAAGATACACTTTGATGTTACCTCCTTTCTAAAGTTATTTCAAGTTTCATTTCCAGGTTGGGAAACAGTCAGTGTTGCCTTAGAAAATAAAGCTATTTCTATGCAAAACCCACACTTCCTAGAGGACAACATATCTCATACATGTATTTTGTTTACTTATGTTTCTGCACTATCTAGAGAAATGTACCACTTCTAGTGCTGTTTAAAGCAAGAAATCTGGATCTGGAGTCTCTATATGGAATGTCTAAGTGTTGTAGATTTAGTTCTTATTGTGTATAAATAATCATAATCTGTGGTGCAAAGAATTCCTACCATGTGCATGGGTAGGGGTTAAAGCACTATGCCTAAAGTGATACCAGTGTTCCCTTTGGGTTTCGAGGATGCATCAACAAAGAGTTTTGCATTGCTGGTGAGCCAGCAAAAGCTGGTTCTAAGTGCTTTAATCAGCAGGGTTAACACACAGTCAAATTGCCAGTGATATTTGCGGCTCGTTACGCAGACTTTTGCAGGGAATATAAAACATTGATTCAGGGATTGTGATAATTTTCTTTTGTTACAAATGTTTGTAAATATTTATGAGAGTAATTGCCAGTGCAGTTATAAATCTGAATATCATGCAACTGTCTTTTTTCAGAAACTTTTAGTAGTTTTATCATTCATTACTGTTACTGCATTAGTTCATATTGTCCTACTGCCTCACAACTATAAATTCCATGTTGCATCACAATGGTAACATTTCTCTTAAAATTTCTCAAAGGATTCAAAAATAAATAGGAATATTGACATTAACACTTTACATCTCACAGGATTTTATTTTAGAGGATATCAATTGACATGTAAATTTTACATCGACTCTTTAGAGTTTTTACATTCTTATCCTGAATAAAATCAGAATTTTAGGTTTTATATGGAGCTAGTAGTATAATAAGAACTGGTTTGGCTTTAGTATTTCTCAGTGCTTTATTTCAATGAAAACATCTAGTTTATTGAAAAGTTTCTCCTGTTGAGCATTTTCAGGTCCAAGATGTTTTCAGAAATTACATACTGGCTTATTGTAAAAATATTCAAAGAATATAATCAAATCTATAAAGGTGAGGAGGAAAATGTGCTGCACTTTTTCTTACATGTCTTTTTTTATTATTACTGTTTTCTCTTTAGCCTCTGCTTTTCAAGTAGGTAACAGCTACTTTCCACCATAATCTCATTCTTCTATTTATTTTATGGTTGGATTTTTTGGGTTTTTTTTATTTTTTTTACTGCTATGTGTGTCTTTAATTCCAGTGAAAAAGGCACTTAGTGTAGATTTTTTACTCAAATCAGTGATATATCTGGCCACAGCTCTCTAGTGCTGCTTCTATTAATTTTCTAATGAATTAGCATCTCACATAAATTCTAACAAACTTACATCTCTTTAATTAGATGTTAGACAGTTACAGATGCCACTTAGAGCTCCTCATGTTTCTGGAAGATGAAAGACCCAGAGTAAGCTGTGGGCTAATGAGAATTTCCTTATTAGGATTAGTTTTTGGCACTCCACCTTGAAACAAGGAAAATAGATTGTTTGCAGTTCTTACAAAAGGGTAACAAGGCTTGTGACAAAACTTAGGGCTACTAGGTGCTTTTTTTTTGAGTTATTTCAGTTGATATCATAAAGATCATTTGATCAGTATTCAAAGGGGTATATAACAAGCCATATTGAAAAATTATTCTCTCTTCCTTTTCAGTAATTCCTTTCAGAAATTTTTCCATATCCCTTTTGAGATATGGCAGCATAACTCTTCTCTGATTAAAATATATTTATCCAGTATATATTGGGACTACATTACTCAAGGTGTCTATAGTATTCTGAAAGAATATTACATTCAGCCATGATTCCTATTACACAAGTTTTTAGAGTTTTCCAAATCTTACTAGAGGTTCTGACTCTTTTAACACCTATAATTCCATTTAAACACTTTTTTTTTTAGCTTACGAACTGAAAAGAGAATGCTCTGACTGTTTTTAGAGAGATACATATTTATAAAACATAGACAAAAATAATCAGAAATGTGAAATTCCTTCTGGTTTTCTCTCAAATAACTCTGAGTTACAGAACTTCTCTAAAACTCCAAATATAGCAAAAATAAAATGTTTTAAGGACAACATTTTAAAATTTAGATATAATTTAGACATTTTAGCAGAAGAATATGCAAGACTTTTTATAAATGAGCTAATTTCACTAGCTAATTTTGTTTTATTATTATTATTTTGAATTTTGAGCAGTCTGAAGGATTTGGATATGAGAGTACTAAGTTCAGTGCTTAGAATTCACTACTGCTTCCTTTTTTGGAGGGATACAGGGGAATGGGAGAAGGAAGGGAATAAGATTCTTTCAGATCATCATATTTCTAAAAGCATTTTAAATACCAATATCTTAACTGCCATATTTGCATCTTCCTCTTAAAGAGGAAAATAAACCCTCACTTCTTTCTTGTGCAGATTTTGAACTATATAAAAATCCATGTTTTGATTGCACCTCTGATGAAGAAAGGGTAAGGTTTAATGTGAATAATACCTAGCAACTTCAGAGAGTTGCACTACATTTTAAAAGAAAATACACATAAGATTCAGCAAACACCTAAATGTGCTTAGGAATAGTATGATTCTATGCCATTTATTGCAGAAAAAAAGCATTGGGAAACACATAAATAAACATGCCCTCAAAAGATTGCTTGTCCAGTTGAAATGACTTGGTTCTTAAATTTTGCAGGAAAAGGAGACTGAATAGTCTACAAAATGGTAGAGCATAGAGGAGCCGCATAGAGGAGCCTCCAAATTATATATTGTTTGTGGCCACATGAAGGTAGGGCCTGTGTTTCTGAACCATTTTCTGTCTTGGGCTTGCAGTACTATAGAATCCACAAAACTTTGTGCCTGGGTGTTGTCCAGCCACACCATCCTCTTTCTCCAGGCAGCAACTGACAGAACGAGAGGACACAGTCTCAAGCTGTGCCAAGAGAAATATTGGTTGGATATTAGGAAAAGGTTTTTTACAGAAAGTGTGATAGAGTATTGGAATGGTCTGAGTGGGGAGGTGCTGGAGTCACCATCCCTGGATGTGTTTAAAAAAGACTGGATGTGGCACTGGGTTCCATGATTCAGTTGAGGTGTTAGGGCTGAGTTGGACTTGATCTTGGAAGTCTCTGATCACTAGTCACTTCCTAGTGATTCTGTGTGAAATTTATGTACTTCTATGTAATAGCATCTTCCCAGCTTTCTGTAGCTGTTTCTCATTACATCTTCATCTGTTCAATTATTTGGTCATCTATTGAAGTAATCTTGTGTAAATTTGAGCTGGGTAAACATCTTTACTAAAATTAATAGATTTTTATTTTTTCTTACCAAAGATTAGCTATTTCAAATAATTAATAACTCTTCTGGCTTGCTTCTGAAACTAATCCAGGGTTTTCTTAACACCTTTCAAATAAATATCCCAGCAATTCTGATGTAATATGTGATAAAGTTGGACATCAACTTTTACTTGAGATTCTCACATTTATTACATTATAAAGCATTACACTTTGCTTTTAAACTTGATGTTCTGTTTAAAGCTAATACTGAGTTATTTCTGAACACCCAGGTTATTCTGAATTAATACCTGAAATATGTGGAGCTGTAACCATTAGATCACTGATGAGATATCCCTATTACATGATCACTGAGCCGTATACCCCCATGATTTTAATTAATCTTTTTAAGTCTGCAGTTTAAATTTTTGGTGATGATTAAAGTATCCTTATTAGTCATTGCTAGTAAACAGTAGCCTAAAGTTTGGAAAGCACTGCTGTAACAATTTTCAACATGAGTTTTGTATTTTGCCTAAATGGGAATTTTACAGGAAAATTCCACAGCATTGCATAATTGTTCTTATAATGCTTACCCCAAAACTCATACAAACAAAAAAAAACTCCTCTGCAGACATGCACAATAGCTGACACAGTAATTTTCACCAAGGAGTTTATTCTCTCAGAAATACAGTATCACACCATCTGTTACAGTGGGCATGCGTTCATATGGCAATAGCCAAATCAGACCACGTCAAATAGTTGCAAGCAAATTCTCTTGGCTTTGCAATTTACTAGTCAGTGGTCCTGTGCTAAGTAGTCATGTCATCTCCCATAGACTGTCCACTTCAGGGCTGTAGTTCACACCTGCTGATAAATATTTATTTATAGAGAAATTATTTACTTTTGTATAGAAAATAGCTGTGATGGTAACTTGACCACCTCGAATTGAATTCTGGAAATAGTTTCTCAAATAAGCAAGAGCAGAAACTTATTTTCAAAATAACTGGAGTCCCATCTGTACAGGTTTGTTTGTTTACTTGCATTTGAATAAAGTAGTCTTCAACCCCAAATTTAGAGCTGTATACTTGTCATCTAAGCTGCTTTTGCCATGACTTTTCTCTATGGAATTGTCTATCTTCCCTCCTCTGTTTTTGCAGCAACTAAAATAACCACAGGCAGTGACTTTGAAGTAAGAAAACAAAGCAGCAAGAGGCAATCCCTTCCTATAATGGCTATTTGCAGGAGGTATGTAGCTGTGATAATTCACTTGATTCATGTTACTGTTGTGTGACTTCAAGACAAAGTTAGAGTGGTAAAGATTTGCAAATGCATAGCGGGGACACAGTGAACTTGCAAACACAGGACACTTGCAAAAAAAGAACACCACATTAAAACATGTGAACGCCAAGCCCCCAAATTATGACTATCAATTAGATACTTTTAAACAACTCCAATTATAATAAGATCTACAAGTTGCAGAGTACAATTGGATTTGAATATGTTAAAAAGATATTTCAGATATATTGTTCTGTATAGTTTAAAAGGTAGACTTTTTTTCCTATTTTTAGCTCCATTTTTCTTTGTGTAGATTGGAACAGGATAAGATTTAGAGCAAGTTATGAGGGATATTCTGGTTACACAACTTGCTGCAATGTTACAATTTGTTGTGGTACCAAGGATCGCATATTTGTACTACACAATAAACCAACAAAAATAATACTGTTTAGGACAGACACAGTGCCCACTAGTGATATAGTAAATCCAAAAAATTCTTTAACTATTTTTCTATTCTTTAAATTTGTTTTATTGACTTATCCTTTTAAGTCATGCCTAGGTGAAAAGATGATTTGAAGAGATGAAGGAAATGAGACTGATGATCTTAAAGCAAGAAGAAGAAAGAATGAAGTAAAAGTTGGAGGAAATTCCATCAAAAAGACTGGGATTTTCCTATGCTTTCAGACATTTTGTTATTTATTTTCCTAATTTAAATTGCTAGTTACCTTTTGAAATCGTATCACAAGCATGGAAATAAGTGCAAACAAGGGAAAACCCCCACATTTATGGGCTTCTGCATGTTTTGTCTGTCTATTAAAGTGCTATAGCAGTACTTGAAGCATGAACTGAGGACGTTTCTATGAATATCTAACATTGCTGTATTAAAGTACTGTATTTCTTTCATAAATGTGAAGTCTGAAGGAATCAGATCTGTTAGTTTAGTCTTCATTCCACTCTCTCTTATATTTCCACATGGAATAACATTTTAAACACTTTCTATTTAATAATTGTAATTGTCTTTTATGTGTTTTATTAAAATTTGGTTATCAAGTCTATTTAAAACCTTCAAGTGTTCTTTGTGAAAGAGACTTTATTGAAACCCTTGGCTCATACAAAAAAAAATCATCTGGAAAATTGCGAAATACTAAAAAGTATAAAACCTGTAACCCACCATTACACCTAGGTTTTAAACAGGTAGAATAGAATATGGAAGTAAAAATTGAGAGGCAGTTTGAATGTAGCTGTCAAGACAAAAATATTGACACTCATGGGATGTGAGCTTGAGAGATGTACTTCTGTCCAGTGTGCTCAATCAAAGACCTGGCTGAAAGCATTGTCTGTTCAAACACATGCGGAAGGAGGAGCAAAAATAATGGTGAAGGAGTAAGGGAAATCCAGGAAATCAGCAATCAAGATATTTACAGCTTTGCACAACACTTCAAGACAATAAACCCTTATTTGTATTTTTCTCCCCACACACATATCTGTTTTCACGATGTTTACGTAACAGCATGAGAGCTGTCAGGTGTACAAAGGTGTACAAAGTCACAGCTGAAATTAACTTATAGAACTTAGTGTGAATGCATATGAGTTTTCACTGGTGGCATTTCTACTTCTTCTTCTGCTTGTTCATTTAGTAATCCTTGTAATAGGCTGTAGGGTTGAAGAAACCCACATTTATCCCTTCACTTAAAAATGACCTGGTGCTAAGTATCACAGGATGAAGTGATATCTGTTTAGTACCAGACTACCACGTAACTTTTCTCTAAAAAATTCTTTTTCATTTCTTTTTTCTCTTTCTCTGATTCTGCTGTACTTCTTCTGTACTTTTTCCTTCCTCCTGGATTTCTCAGTCTCCTCTGAGTGGAGCTCCTTTGGGGTCTTCCCTCGTGGGGGGTCTCACTTCTCTCAGTTCTCTGGGTTTGAAGAAAACTCCTGAGCTTGTTAGAATCTTGTTTCTCATGTTTATTAGAAGGTCATTACAAAACTTGGCAGGTCTCTTCAGAGTGGCTGCACAAGGTTAATTCACCACAACCTGGCTTATTTTCTCCTGATGTTACAGAATGGCCTTGTGGCTCACTTTGTGTTTGAAAGCACAAAATATCCCCGAACCATGCAGTTGTTTTATCTTTATACTTATTTTTATACAATTAACAATAGACATGTATATTATTTTTCTTAATGACCCAATGACCCGACACCTGTGTGCTGCACCGTGGTGTTTTCTGTCCAATCACTTACTACTACCCAAAAACCTCTAGGAGAAGAACATGAAGAAGAAAGAAGAAGGAAAAGAAACAACACCCTAAATCCTCCATCTTGTATTCTGTTCTCTAAACTAACCTTTTCCACCCAGTGACTTAAGAAAACTTTCTAATCTACACACTTACACTTTTAGCTTTTCTATCTAACTTTAACAGTTGTTTTCATGTATTACCATGAAAACATGCTCATAAATTTCATATTATATGAAATTCAGTGTTTTTCTGGATCTTAGAATTAAGTATCAGAAACAAGAGCACACACTCTGTGTCTGAGACTCCAACACTACCTGTTGCAGTAAATTAAGCCTAAAACAGTTCTTTGCATAGTATTATTCATATTTTGAAATCTTAACAAGTATGTGTGAAACTATTTATCTGGATGTTGATGTTTGGCTCAATGGCTTGAAGAGAGAAGTGCTGTCCCCCAGCCATCTTTTTTAGGATTGTTAGCTATTAAGTACAAGAGAGGTGACCTTTAGTGTCACCAGTGCTCTTGTGAAGTACGAAAGAAGTGTTGCCATTTTGTTGCATCTCAGACTCAGACTGGGTTAAAATGCAATGTTCAGCCTGTAGGAGGATAGAGAATTCCACTCAGTCCTTAGCTTTTTCCTAATGGCTGTCATTGCTTTTCCTATTTTGGGGAAGCTGTGGTGTGGATATAGGAAGCAGTAGCTCAGGGTGAAGGAGCTGCAGTCCCTGCCCAGCTGTCTGTGTCTGTGCTGCCTGGGTGTGCACAGGGGAGGTCCACTGGCACTGTACTAATCTCCAGTGGTTTAAATCTCAGGTCAGGTAACAAGGCCCCCCCCTTTTAGCTGAGCTGATTCAATTCTCATGTTAGAATGAATGAATGAATGACTGAATGAATGAATGAATGAATGAACGAAAACTGTTTTCCTTCCTTGGTAATCACTTTGTTCCATTCTTACCCCCCAAACAAGCTCCAGCTCTCAAGGAATCATGCCTTTAGCCATGGGCAATTTGTCATTGGAGGGTTGTTTACAGCCCTGTCTTTTTGTGCCTGTCTTTCAAATCTCTGTTCTCATCCTGTCCTTCATGCTGCATTTTTATTTGTCAGATCACAGATTAGTTTATTCTACAAAGAATTTGTTACTACTGCAGATCAGAATATACATTATGTGCATTTCACCTTGTAAATGAATTGCTGCCTTCCAACTGCATTGCATCAAATGTAGGAAAGCTGTAACTATATTCCTCTAAGTGAAATAATCCTAGAAGTGTGTTCTTCTTCCCCTAAGTGTGCACTTCAGTGTGTAGCCAGGTTTCTTTGATTCTTTTGTTTTGATGTGCAAAACATTGTGTAAAGAAAGAACGAGCTGAAAGTTGCCAGACAGTACAATAGCAAAAACAGTCCCTTTCTTTGTTTCCTTCCTCTCCTGCAGGCAGCACTTGCAGCAGCTCAGAAAGGGACTACCAATGGTATCCGTTTTCCTACGGGTCTAACAAAAAAATCATCCCCTCCCTCCTTTTGTATTTTGTCAATAATCCTGACATTATTATGGTCAGCAGAGAATTAAGAACCAAGTGATTTCATGCAGCAAGGAAGACAGCAGTGTGACTTTGTAGGTAGTTAGACTAAAGAACTGAGGTGGTTTGCTGCTGGTCTCCTTCCCTGAGAAGTCCAGAGGTGATTCCACAGCAGCAGGAGTGGGATTGACTGACAGTGCCCTGAAGTATCCTAGTTGCTAATGGCTACAGTGAAAGCAAATTGAATTATTAACCAATCAAGATGCCAGGATCACTCCTTTAGCCTTTTACATGGTTCCTCTGTCAATACTGAATGTCTTTTCAACTACTCTGGGACTATGTGGTGGAAATTTTAAAATTTCCTGTAATAGCCCAAGGGCTTGTCTTAGGCTTGCCTGGAATAGAGTTCATTTACTTCAATTACAATTACAGAGTAGCTGCAATTGTGCCATGTTTTGGATTTGTGACTAATAGTATCATTAACATAGGCATGTGAATAGTATAAAAATTGTTTAAATGGTGTCAAGGCCTTTTCTGTTTCTCGAGGTGCCCCACCACCAAATAGGGGGTGCACAAGAAACTGTGAAGGGCCATAAACAGGACAGCTGACCTCACTGAATGAAGAGATATTTCACATCATACGATGTCATGCTCAGAAATAAAATCTGGTGGAAAAGAGGAGCATGAGACACGCATAGGACTACAGCATGTGTCTTCCCAAGTAACCATTACTCACGATGGAGCCCTGTTTTCATGGAGGTGACCAAACACATGCCAGCCAGCAGGAATTAGTGGATTAGTTTCTTATGTTGCTTTGCTTCTGTGTGCAGCTTATGCAACAAAATTGGTTCAGTCTCAGTTTACAGGTTTTTCACTGTTATCCTTCTCATTCTCTTCCTGATCAATATTTTGGGGAGAGTGAGTGAGCAGCAGAGTGAAGCTCAGTGTCCTGTTTGGGTTATCTCACAACAGTGCTACAGCATGACAATAAAGAAAAATCTATCTATATAAATAAATGTTAGATTAAAGTTGAAATTCACAATAAACATATGTCATTCTCACCAGGATTAACATGACAGCAAGGTATAAAACAGTTGGATTTTTCACACAGTAATTAGTAAGGATTAGTAAAGTAAGTAAAGTAAGTAATTAGTAAAGGATTGCCACTTTCTCTCTACAGCACACTTAGGTTTTTAATTTGCTTAAGTGTGGAAAGTATCCTACAATTTTCTCACTACTTACTTTAAAGTGGACAGGAGTTTATTTTTAGCTAAAGGTTTGCAGATTAACCATTGGACTCTTGTCACTCACTTTCCTTCAGACTTGAGTGTGAGACTGGACTATTAGAAAGACTTAGGTGTGATATTTGTTCATTACTGATGGAACTGAACCTCTTGATAAACAAATCTTAGCAGAAAAAAAAACAATCAAAACATTCATATTTCTCTACATGCTTAAATCTCTAGTTAAGTAGAGACCTTCCTTTTTAATGATAGATGTTGGGGAAGGCAGGGCAGACACCAAAGCAAAATCCACAAACACAGGAAAGCAGAACAAAGTGCATGTGATGCTAAAATACACTTTTCTTGCTGAAATTTTTAAAGCCCTGAGAATTTTTTCTGACTATGCCTAGAACAGTGTTTTACAAATTTAACTTCTCTTATTGTACCCTCTACTGTGTTGGTATTACGTTATGCAGAAATCTGGGAGTAAAGGTTAATAGAATTGCTCAGTTGGTGATAACACTCAAATCAGTAACTGCCTCTGGATCCTGAACACTACAGAAATTATACTATTAACATTGGCTTTAATGCTTACTCCAGCAGTGGTCACGTTTTTCCCTTAGAGAAATAATCAGCAGAAGGACAAATTGGAGATGTATTTGCAGATTTAAAATGCTTACCCCCTACAAATCCCACAGCCAGATGAATTGTGGTCAGGTGGAAGAAACTGTGTTGCTCTTTGAGAACCATCAGGCAGTATTTCCAGGTTTGATCTTAAATTTCTAAATTTGTTTTTTATACTCTGGAGTTTCTTCTCAGGAATCCATTCCTGCTTTATGGAGGAGTGAAAAATAATGTGGCTCTGTCACATTTGCTGTATTTGCCTTTTGCATTTATTTGTGTAGGTGCTAAACAACTTTTGACCATTGAGAAAAAGGGCAGTAGAGACTGTTTCTGTCCTTGGAGTTCTTTC